TTAAAGCATATATACCCAATAAATGACAAAAAGCAAAGTGTTAGAACTGAACCTGATGCGTAGGATGAAGCACGAAAAGTGGCATAGGAAGTTTATGCAGAAACAAACAGAACCGGACAGCTACTCAAATTATTATATAGGATCACTTCCTAGTTTAACACAATATATATATCACTCCTGGTTACACGTCAGGCACACATCCCAGTAACACCAGGCAACATCCCGCAGTAACACGCAGGCAACACACTCCCAGTTACACGCAGACACACACTCCCAGTTTCACAGCTCAGACACACACTCCAGTAACACGCAGGACACACTGCCCAGTTACACGCAGCACACACTCCCTAGTTACACGCAGACCACACTCCAGAAACAGCAGGCACACTGTGCTCCAGTAACACGCAGCATACACACTCCCAGTTACACGCAGACACACACTGTCACCAGCCTCATAACGCACGCAGCGCACACACCCCAGTTACACGCAGACACACACCAGACTCGCCAGGCACACTCAGTTACACCACCTCCAGTGACCAGCACACACTCCCGCTTACACGCAGGCAACCACTCCCAGTACACCAGGCACACCTCCCAGTTACAGACAGGCCACCAAGCGTTATCACGCAGGCACCACTCCAGTAACACGCAAGTCACACACTCCGGTAGTCCAGTTACACGCAGACACACGCTCCCAGACGTTAGCCCTACACGCAAGACAGGCACCACTCCCAGCTTACACGCAGACACACACAGTCCCAGTTACACACGCAGACACACACTCCCAGTAAACACGACACACTCTTTCTTCACGCGCATGCATCGCTCAGCATACGGGAATACGATATACATCTCTGGCTGAACGGTGACCGTGACCGACCAACAGGTGGGTTTCAGTGCGTTCATCTACCTCTCTGCGCGCTTGCAATATATCGTAAAATGTTGCCGCCTTCCAGCAGCATTCCGCGGCTACATTTATGATACGATGTGTTCAGTTGGTTCAATTATAATAAATGCTCGTGTGTTACTACGCCGACCTGGCAGTCACGCATGCCAGCCGCAATAATTGCCATTATATATAGTATATAGCATATTTGCACTGCATTCGTGATATATATATTATATATATTATATATTATATTAATATAATATATATACTACTAGTATATAATAAATATAAGTTATCGCGCGATGGTGACAAAAGCATGGCAGACTGTTTGGTGACGGAACATACGCCTATCGCGGGTTCATTGTTGGCGACACTGCTATAGTAGGGCTACTGTAGTGTATTCAGCGACCCTAGTTTACGCGGCGCCATGCAGGACAAGGCATTGTTTGTACCTATAACTTGACAAAAATGAGTTTTTGTGAACACAAAACTTCAATTCTGTCAATCCTGTCCCAAAAACTCAATTTGTGAACACAAAACATCAATTCTGTCAATCCTGTCCACAAAAACTCATAATTTTCTGTGGAAAACAAGAACTCAATTCTGTCAATCCTGTACCTCACAAAATCAATTTTGTAAACACCAAAACTCAACTCTGTGCGAACCGTTCCACAAAACTCAATTTTGTAAACACAAAATCTCATTCTGTCGAAACCGGCTTCACAAACACTCGATTGTGTTGCTCAGAATATGGCACACGCATGTAAGTGAAGGCTCACATTGGTCAGAAACTGTCGGCTGAGAATTGTCATGGTGCCATCGTTTGTTCTTCTGACCTAATGGTAAGCCCTTCTTACATGGCTTGTTCATATTTGTGGCAACAAAATCGAGTTTTGTGCGAACCGGTCGACAGAATGTGAGTTATTGTGTTTACAAAATTGAGTTTTTTGTGGGACAGGATTGACAGAATGAGTTTTGTGTTGCAGGCAAATGAGTTTGTGGGACAGGATTGACAGGAATTGAGTTTGTGCTGTTGCACGAAATTGGAGTTTTTGTGCGGACAGGATGACAGAATTGAGTTTTGTGTTCACAAAAAAATTGCACTTTTGTTGAGGACAGCAATGAGTTGTGTGCACAAAAGTGAGTTTGTGAGACAGAATTGAGTTTTGTTAGACAAATTGAGCCCTGTCCTGCATGGCGCCCCGTACTAGTGGCCGCCAAACGCGAAAGTAGGTCTCACAGACAAGATGTGATAAACCCATAGAAATAACATAGTAGTTAGACTATATTGTCTCTGCATGTTTATGTCTATAAGTAAACCACACGGTGTTCTCGGGTTTTCGCACTTTAAGCATGATAGCTGGGTTCGCGTGAGTACGTTCGCGGCGGTGAGTAGCGTGTAAAAATCTGCAAACCCTTCCTGCATGTGTTCGACGCACCGAGAAGTGGAATCTATACCAGACGTTCTGCGCCTGTAGCTTCTTTAATAAGATTTACTAGGTATTCTCCCACTTGATGATTTTTTTTAAATTCAACTCTTTATTATAATCTGTGCGGAAATTCTCGCACGTAAAATTTGTCTGAAACATTTATAAAAAATATTCGAAA